GGACTGGTTTGATATTTTTCAACCCAAAAAATAAATACAAAATGGAGTTGGAAGACATTCATAGGAGGGCACAACGAAAATAGTCTCAAAAATACTTTTAACAGAATAAAAAGTGAAGACTCTCACTTCCTTCTGAAAGACATGTGAAACTTGGCCATTTCCTTTCAAGTTCACTTTAACAAATATTTATTGAATATATATGTGTGTTTGATACTGAATCAGTTAAACATTTATTCAATAAATACTAATTGAGTACCTAACTTTATGCCAAGCATTGTTCTAAGCCCTAGAGATAGAGCAGTGAACCAACAAAAATCCATGCACACAGGATTTATATTTCAGAAGCATGAGCGATAAAGAACAAATAAATAAAATGTATGTGTATGTCAGATCATGATAAGAGCTATGGAGAAAAGTAAAGTTGGAAAAGGAGTTAGAAAGTATCAGGACGAGGGAAGGAGGCGTTGCAATGTTAATAGATGGTCATGGCAAGTCTCAGTCGAACAAAAGCTGGGAAGGTCTTAGATGGATTTTGGAAGAAGGGAGAGGATGTGTAAACAATCATACTTTTAAAAAATAGTCCAATGTTCAGGATCCTGCATTCTACAAGGCTGTGTTTATTGGTGATGGCCTAACTTTTAACTAATGAAAGGAATGCTGCCTTCAGACTGAAAGAGATACTCCTTCAGGTGGAGATGGAATGTGACTACTTGACTTAAACTTTGAAGGATGGGGAAAGACTAGATGTGATGGTGGAGTGAGAATAGTGGCAAGAATAACAAAAGCAGAAGTCTGGGGCAGAGAGGTTTACTGCCTTCTCCAGGGACAAGATATTCCCTGCCCCAAGGCAAGGGATGGAGCTGGTTATCTGAAGTGGGCCTATAAGCTAGTTAGAGAAGGTCACATTTGGTCGTAGAGGCTATGGGAAGCTACCAAAGCTAAATGAGAAGGGGAGAAACATGATTAAATGGGTATTTTGTTTTGTTTTTGAGAAAGAGTCTCACTCTGTCACACTGGGTAGAGTGCCATGGCATCATCGTAGCTCATAGCAACCTCAGACTCATAGGCTCAGGCAATCCTTTTTGTCTCAGCCTCCCAAGTAGCTGGACTACAGGTGTCCACCACTATGCCCAGCCAGTTTTTTCTATTTTTTTCTATTTTTAGTATAGATAGGGTCTCACTCTTGCTCAGGCTGGTCTTGAACTCCTGACTGCCTCAGCCTCCCAGAGTGCTAGGATTACAGACATGAGCTATTGCGCCTGGCCTGAAACAGGTATTTTAGTAAGCTTAATGCAGTAGTAGAGTCAGATTAGGTCAGAACAAGGACAGGCTACAGATGGGATGCCTCCTTCCTTCCACACTTGATGATTAGTGTGCAGCAAGTCATCAATCTTATTTTTGTTATCCAGACATTAATGTATAAGGGCTGAACCAGAATGGAAGCAGTGAAAACAGTGGTATTTATAAAGGAATGATATTTGTAAAAAAAAATAATAATAATAAATAAATGATAGACCTTTGTAGGTGATGAGACCTAAATGGTAAAGGAGAGGAAAAAATTAGGGCGGCCACGTTCCCCGCTCTCAGAGAGAGGCAAACAGATGATGCCATTCGAAGACTGAGGCATCTGTGATCCAAACAGGGTATGACTCACTCAGGATCACACAGCAAAAAACTGAAGGCAGAACCCAGATGTCCCCCACTAGACGACTCCAAAGTTTTAAACCTGGGAAGTAAAGAAGTAGTGCTACCAACAGAAATGGCTATTTCTAACTAGCTTCCAACTGAGTAGGGGAGATGGAGAATTTTAGTTTTATATTGGTGGAGTCTCGTGGAGTTTGAAAATATTCCAGTATAGATATCCAGGAGATAGGCAACACTTTTGCATAGGAAATGGCTCTACCTTTGCTAGTTTGTGACCTTGGGCTTAATCTCTCAGAGCTTCAGTTTCCCCCAGTAGCAGAGCGAGGATAATGTTATTACTTAATTGTTGTTATGAATAAATGAATGAACTAACTCATATTTGCACAGGACTTGGAACAGCACCTGGTACAAATAAGTGTCATTTAGTTGCTTGTTAAATAAAACAAGTAACATGCGGTATAAAGCAGAAGTTGGCTTTCTGGAAAGGTAAGGAAAAGAAGATAGGGTGGAAAACTAGAGGCAAATTTAGGACAATTGAGGCTGTATCTGTCATAGAAGTCAAGGGGGGGAATGTATAATGGTGAAAAACAAAATAGAATGACCCCAAGATACAGAGAAAGAGGAAGGGCAAGAGAAATCATCAAGTGTGGAAGAAGGCAGCATCCCAGAGTTCATTGTGGACAAAGGGGTGAGGAGGAGAGAAGCCCAACTGCAAGGGAGAAAGAGGCAGTGAAAATGAGGAAGAGAGACGCTTGGACGGCTACTTGCCAGCAACATGTGAATGTGTCTAAGAGCAAATAAAGCTTGAAAATAGGCATGTGATGACATTAATGGATAACACATTCGTAGTGAATTGTTAGAAGACTGTTAAGGAGATCTGGAGTCATTTCTAACCATCAGGAAACTGAGGGCATGGAGGGTAATACTCTTGGCCTGACCTTTAGAATTAGGTGCCAAACTCTGAGCTGAATGCAGAATGATCTGAGGGTAAGATGGAACGTTTTATGATTCTTCCCATTCACCCCCCCAAAAGTTTCCATGATTGCAAATTCTGAAAACTCGAGATGTCCTCATTAAGCTTTATTTGTGTTTGTGCAAAACCAGTGTATCTTTGCTATGCATGAAAGGGTAGGTCATAAGGATTCAGAGACTCAGAGAATCCCATCTTGAAAGGCTGAATTATTGCACAGTATGCTGAAGCTTCTTATGAAAGACGTGCTCTACAAATCATTCATTGGTTCCCAGTTTGAAGAAGTACTCATAGAATTGCTAAGAATTTTTTATCCAAATATTTGCTGAAAAGTTCCAGTGTAGTAAATAGACTTAGGAGAATTTTGAAAGTTAGAAACTCCAGGCTCGGCGCCTATAGCTCAGCCGGCTAAGGCGCCAGCCACGTATACCTAAGGTGGCGGGTTCGAGTCCCCAGCCCGGACCCGCCAAAACAACAATGACGGCTACAACCAAAAAATAGCCGGGCGTTGTGGCGGGCGCCTGTGGTCCCAGCTACTTGGGAGGCTGAGGCAGGAGACTCGCTTGAGCCCAGGAGTTGGAGGTGGTTGTGAGCGTGATGCCACAGCACTCTACCCAGGGGGACAGCTTGAGGCTCTGTCTCAAAAAAAAAAAAAAAAAAGAAAGTTAGAAACTCCAAATTTCAAAAAGCTTTCTTTTCTTGGGGTCTATTTTCATAGATAGTCCATATAATGTTATACTTATGAACTTTGTCTTAAGTGCTTCAAAAGGTATTGATTTGGGGGCCGATGGCCTACCGAACCAGCTCTGAAAAATTACTAACTACCTGACCCAGGCAAAACCAGACAAAGGAAGGCCATCAGGAAAAGACTGAACCCAGTCCAGGCATTTTAGTATTGGGTTGCAAATTAGGGAGTATTGGACTGGTACTGTCCAATAGGAATGTATTGAGGCCCACAAACACGAGCCACATATGTAATTTCCCACTTACTTTAATGCAAGCCATTAGTTTAAAAAGGAAAAAACAAACAGATGAAATTAATTTTAATAATACATTTTATTTATATCCAAAGTACTTAACATGCAATCCACATAAAAATCATTAACAAGATACTTTATATTATTTTTTTCTGTACTGTCTTCAAAATCCAGTGTGTATTTTACCCATCCAGTAAATAACATTTTGCTTTTTTTTTTAAGGGCAAGTTGACAAGAAATCATATAGAGCGTGTTCCCGTATATCACAATCAACAGCAAGCCAGCAACTTGAAATAAACACGGGCTTTTCCACACCTGTCAACACTGGGACTTTTCTGATTTTTTCTTGAGTTTGAGGCTGGGTTTCTTTCTTTCTTTTTTCTTTTCTTTTCTTTTCTTTTGTTTTTTTTTTATTTTTTTTTTTTTTTTTGAGACAGAGCCTCAAGCTATCCCCCTGGGTAGAGTGCTATGGCTTCACAGCTCACAGCAACCTCCAACTCCTGGGCTCAAGCGAGTTTCCTGCCCCCGCCTCCCAAGTAACTGGGACCACAGGCGCCCGCACCAACGCCCGGCTATTTTTTGGTTGCAGCTGTCATTGTTGTTTGGCAGGTCCGGGCTGGATTCCAACCCGCCACCTCAGGTGTATGTGGCTGGCGCCCTAGCTACTTGAGCCACAGTAGCTCAAGGCCTGAGCCTGAGGCTGGGTTTCTTAGCCGACCTCTCAGTCTAAAACTGAAATAAACCTGGATGCACTCTTGAATTACAGGAATACTGCCTTTAGTAGTTCCCCACAGACAAGTTTTTATCCCAGGGTGTAAAAAATTCTGTTCTCTAAAAATGCATAATGTTTATTCTTTGGATAGATTCACTATATCTACTTAAGGTGTCCCAGGAAGAACGGATGGGCACATGGTTTGCAAAGTTGATTTGCATCCTCATAAATTCTGTTGACTTTAACCTTTTTTTTTTTTTTAAGTCTGTCTTTTCCCAGGAATAGGTGTCAACCCTTATTCAGGCCTTGCCTAAAGAATCCCGGGGTTGATCTCCCAACCTCGCCAACTCCGCGGCGCGGGCGGAAGACGCGGGCTCCCCCCGCTTGCCCACATTCCCTGGCAGCTTGGCGGCTTTGAGCAGATGGAGTTTCCGGCCTGCGCTCCGTGGTCGCCGGGTCATCCGCCCGCGCTCCTTTCTGCCTGAGGTCAGGGCCCCGGGAAGAGCGCGCCGTAGGCCGGGGTATCCGGACGGCAGTGCCGCGCTGGGTCCACACCCTCCTCCCCGCCGCTCCCTGTGTGCCAGGTTGGGCGCGGGGCCGCTGGGCTGGCCGCCGCAGCCGGGAGGCTGGGCCGTGCCCCGGGGTGATTTCAGCGCAGAAGGTGGAAATGCGGAAGTTTCCAGCCCCGAATGACAGATGAGGCTCGCGTCCGGCTCCGCACGCTGTGCAGCGGCTGTGCGGCGCGCCGGGCCCCCGCTCTCCGCACCAGGCGCCCCTAGAGGCCGCTGAGCCCCGGTGGGCGATGGCCACGCTGCCGAGCGCAGAGCGCCGCGCCTTCGCGCTCAAGATCAACAGGTAAGACGCGCCCCGCGGTGCCGAGGATCGCTGCCAGTCCGCCCCAGCTGGCCCTGCGGGCGCCGACCACAGGTGGGGGCCGGGCCGGATGAGTCCCTGCGAGTCCGCGGCGGGGCGCGCCTGAGACTTGGGGACGACCGGTCCCCGAGGCTGCTGCAGTGGAGCCGCTGAGAGCGCGGCAACCTGCGCGCTGGGCTCACATCCTCCCCGAGAATCCCAATCCTCCGGAGAATTCTGATCCTCCGATCTCCTCATCCCCCAGGGTCACTTCGCCAGCGCAGTCCTCGGGTTCTGACAGGTGGTCGGGCCGGGAGTGTGATAGGCGGAGGGGTAATCGTGCCACAGAGTTTGTTATAAACTGCTCCTGACTTTGAGGCTGTTATTCTGAGAAGGGAAAAGAAAGGACGTGGCTGAAATGAGAGTTTTGCTTTCAGGTAGCTGCTCCAAGACTTCTGTCGTCCTGAGCCGGGCTCTTTTCCCTCTTACTTTACTATTCCAGAAAACGTTTGGCTCCTGATGAGATCGCTATTTTTATTCCCTGGTCCAAAGCAACCATGAAGTGGAAAAAGTGATTTTTAAAATTCTTCATTTAAATAAACAAAATGGAATGGCCTGTGGCTGACATTTTGAGATTTTCAGCACAGCAGCGAAAAACTAAGCACACAAGGTTCCCAACTCACCCTCCAATGGCAGTTTTCCCTGTACTGGAAATTGCTGACAAGTATTTGGGGACAATTATGCATTGCCCTGAGAAATCTAGGCTGCCTAGTTAAAGAATAATAGGAAACATCCTGAAGGGTCAGCTTAGTCTGCTCTCAGATTTGGAAGTCTTCTTTTAACTGAGCCTGGGAGGGGCTGGTTCTATAGTGTGTTCATCTTTGTGCTGCTGGTGTGTGAAGAGGTTTGAGCAACAAGGAATTAAACGTCCAGAAAAAATGAGACGGTAAGGACTTCCAAAGGGCATTGAGCTTTGTTGGTGATTTTATTTCCACCTACTGTGTAGCTGTGAGCAAACCATTTCTCTTACCTTGCTATATCTTCACCTGTAAATGAGTGTAATTAGTAACGTGCTGTGTGTCAGTGTTAGAGGCCAAGAGGTCAGTATGTCAGGGATCTATCTCTCTCTGGGAATATTTTTCTGCATTAGGGTTCATGGCTATCCTATGCGAGGAGGAGTAATTCATTGGGGGAATGTAAGGGATCAAACTGAAGTTATTAATAGATGTATTATTGATAGCCACTGCTTCTCCAGCCTTGTGAATTTTAGGTCAGGAAGTGTGACTTGAGTAGAAAGATATTAGAGACAGTAGGGTTGGGGAGGGTTGATCAGGGGTGAGCCACCAGGGCCTGGGCTAATCCTATAGGCAGGCCTGCAAGCAGCTTGGAGTTGGTGTACCCTGGGGTTAGAAATAAAGGCTGTGGCTGGAATCTGATCTGCTTGTGAACTGGCTCTCTGCTGACGAACTGAGTGGCACTGGGCATGTTATTTAACCTCTCTAAGCTGTGGTTTCTTTATATGTCAAAGGGAGATAAACGTAGTACCTTCTGATTATTGAAAGGATTAAGTGAGATAATAGGTACAAAGACCTTGTAGTGCCTGGCTTAGAATAAACGTTAAATAAATATTAGCCATCATACACTGCCATCAGCTTCATTACTGTCATCATCTCTATCTTAGATTCTAAGATAGAAAGGTAGGAAGGAAAGCTGCAGCTGGAGGACTTCCCAGGCAGAGACCACTTTGGGCTGGGTAGGAAGATGCCAGTGGCTGGTTGGAGCTTTCTCCAGTTGGTTGGAGCCAATTTTCTCCCTCCTGTGTCTTCCATCCTGATGCTGAGAATACCAGACACGCTCAAGGCGGGAGAGTGTGTGGTGGAACCTGATCAAGAAGAGCCCCACTCAAGTTAAATAAAATGTGAAAACTTCTCTAATCTTCATGCCAGGAAATGAATTGGATATTCCTATTCTTAGAGTTCTGCTTTCACTTTTTTTTTTTTTTTTTTGAGACAGAGCCTCAAGCTATCCCCCTGGGCAGAGTGCCGTGGCATCACGGCTCACAGCAACCTCCAGCTCCTGGGCTCAAGCGAGTCTCCTGCCTCAGCCTCCCAAGTAGCTGGGACCACAGGCGCCCACCACAACGCCCGGCTATTTTTTAGTTGCAGGCGTCATTGTTGTTTGGCGGGGGCCCGGGCTAGATTCAAACCCACCACCTTAGGTGTATGTGGCTGGCGCCTTAGCCACTTGAGCCACAGGTGCCGAGCCTCTGCTTTCACTTTTTAAGCGTTTTGTGTATTAGCTGGAAGAGTTATGCTAAGGAGCTTGGCAGAAATTATTGTTTAAAGGAATGGATTAATAAGGACATGCCTAGTATTAATATGATATTAAAATCCACCATACATTGATCACTTACTATGTCCTAGCACCATGTTATACACTTAATGGGATATACATGTATAATTAAATCCTATGAGACTTGATTGAAGTCTCAGACTAAAGAGGAAAATGGAGTTTGGAGATGTAATTGCACAAGGCCATGTGATGTGTTCACAGGCGCACAACCAGCTACGGCAGATGGGATTATAAACTGCTCCAAAGATGGTAATCTTAATGACGTCTATTGTATTTTGACCCATGTATCTTAAGAATTTCCTTTTAGGCTCAGCGCCTATGGCTCAAGCGGCTAAGGCGCCAGCCACATACACCTGAGCTGGCAGGTTTGAATCCAGCCCGGCCAGCCAAACAACAGTGATAGCTGCAAACAAAAAAAAAGCTGGGCATTGTGGCCAGCGCCTATAGTCCCAGCTACTTGGGCGGCAGCAGCAGGAGAATTGCTTGAGCCAGGATTTGGAGGTTGCTGTGAGCTGTGATGTCACAGCACTCTACCCTGGGTGATAGCTTGAGGCTCTGTCTCAAAAAAAAAAAAAAGAATTTCCTTTCAAAGCAAGTGGGGAACTAAATTTTTAAATCATAATTTCAGTAACTGCATTGGCAAATTGTTCTGTTTCTGATTGGCGCTTACTATGTAAATAAATTAACAACGTGATGTTTTGCAACTTCAAAGGTAAAAAAGAAACTATTTTCCCTTGCATGCTTATCTATTTTTTTAAATAGACCAAATTACAAAAGTTAAAAAGTTGAAATATGGCCATCAGTACATTCAGTATATGTTCTTTTTTTTTTTTACCTTTTACTAAGAATGATCTAAACTATTCCTTAAAAATAGTTGTAGAGTAGAAGTAGTGTGCTTCTTATGAATTAAATAATCAAAGTTGACACATTAAAAATATTGTTTGTGAAAAGTTTGGTTCTGTCCACACCAGTCTCAAGAAGGAGTGAGCAGATATTTCCTAGTGAGAGAAGAATGTCACCCATTGCTTTTAAATTCTGTGGTTTCCTGTAAGCAGCATTGCCCAGTGCAGGGGCAGGGGCAGAACCAAGGAGGAACCCGGGAATGCCACAAGTGACTTTCCCCCCATGTTGGCCTTGGCCTCTCATGTTCTTGTAAAGCCTAAACTTTATGTGTTGGAAATCACCAGGTAGAACATATTTTCTTTTGAGCACCAAGTGTAGTTGTCTAACTTGTTCCAATTAAGCGTTTCTCTGGAACCCACAGCTCCAAAAGATATGAGAGAAAGTATCCACCACTAAATTCAAAGGTGGAAAAATGAAGTTTATTTTTTTTATAAGTGTTGTGTACTATCTTCATTTCAGTTTAATTGTTGCTGACTTCTTATATGCAAAGGGAAGACTAGAATTAGGCAGTTCATAATGTATTCTGCATGCGAGATTTCAGACTGCATTGAGTGTCCTAACACAGTCTCTGTAGGAGCATCTCGTCTTGTTAATTACCTTCTTTTCTTACTGGAATGTATTATTACTAATACTCTCAAAATCTTGGTGTCTTGAAAACAGAATAGATACAGAACTTGATCAAATATTAAAGTAAAATAAGAAACTTTGATTAAGAGAACCAAAATGTTGGCTGTAGAAAAAACATTAATGATATTATGGACATTCAGGATTGAAAGGAATAAAAAATAATGGCTTATGCTTCTAGAAAACTTGCTGTGTAGCAGGTGCGTGTCTGAGTCTTCACATACCACATACATAACCCATTCACTTGTGTGAAGTACAAACACTTACTATTCCCATTTTACAGATGGAGAAACTGAGCACAGCAAAGTTACATAAATTGTCCAACATCATAAACAGCTAATTAATGACAGAGCTGGTATTCAAATGCAGGCATTCTGGCTCCAGAATCCTCTCCCTTAACCACTATACTATGCTATCATCTCAGTTTTAGTTTAAAATGATAATAAAATAAGTAACATTTATTGACTACTTACTATGTACCAAATATTCTACTAAGCATGATACATACCTTCATTTTATTTTGTTGTTGTTGTTGCAGTTTTTGGCCAGGGCCAGGTTTGAACCCACCACCTCTGGTATATGGGGCTGGTGTCCTCCTCCTTGAGCCACAGGCACTACCCCTTCATTTCATTTTTTAAAAAAGAAACAAATTTTTAGGCACAGTAATCATTAGAGGGTGATTTAATAGAAGATTAAAAACAGGTTCTAAGAAAATAGAATAAAGTTACATAAAGATTACACTTAATAACAACTCCAATAATTTGGGGTATAAAGGCCAGAATAAGATTAATCTTTGCTAATGCTGTGTGCAAAGATTATACAAGCATAAAAATATATGCTTCCAAATGTATAAATGTGTGTGCACATGAAAACAGTGCTGTTCATTAATAGTGGGGGAGGCTGGTGGAGCGAGGTGAGATGGTGTAGTTCCAGGAATTGCTTCATTTGTCTGATGTTTCCTGGACCAAAGACTGATAGAGGTTCTCAGGCAATAGAATTCAGAATCTTTGGCCTTTCACATTCAGTATCATTTCCTTCCAGATTCTTGGAAAAGTTGTATTTGAACTTTAGACATCTAGATCTATTCTGAAGATGCCTTACAGAACGTATGCTGAAAGAACCTT